AATGCGTTGTCATAAATAATGAACGCTTAACGAAAAAAACAGAAAGCACAGGATCAATTTGCCTGATAATCAAAAAACCCAAGCAAGGAGGTCTCCTCATTGTACTGCCCTATACACAACACTTCCAAATCTTTGGAAGGCTTATGTGCAACTGTCTTACATGATTGTGTGGAAATTTTACAGAGGTCGAAACATGCAAGATTTTTATTTTAATATTGTTATGAAGAACGGACTAAGTCATATGCACAGGGATTTTTCATGGGTGCGTGCACAAAATAGTACATACACATTTTCTGTGTACTCGACGCGGAAATTAACTGCCTGCAACCACGGCAATTTTCCTTGCTTTGATGCGCTCTTTTACGCTCTCTGATCTATGCGAGAGAGGAAGGGGGCGCACGCCCTGACAGGTTTGACACGCGCGACAGCCTGCTGCTACTGGCGAATTGGCGAACGAGCGAGGCGAAGACCCGCATGGTTGTCGCACTCCGCTCCGAGATAGTGGCATATCCGCGTGCTGCTCCGCCCCGCCCCGCCCCATAGCAGGTACGCCTACATGGAGGCGGCGGCGAGGTAGGCAACCCCTCGCACACGTGCCAGTCGGAGAACGACGCCCAAAATGGTTCCTTTGTTCACATTTTCGTTAAGAGATGCGTTTTGCACGGATAAAGCCTGGTGGGGGGCTTCGGCTGGTCTTGTAATTGCGAACGATTTATTCTGCGCGATGTGCAGCCCTGTGCAAATTCCTCTCCCCACCCCTTCCCCCCAAAAAATGTCTTTGTAGACTCATAAGCAGAAAATAAACTCCATCGCCATACAAACAAAAATGCGCAGGTGATCATGGGTAGGCCATACCTGTGAGGATTTGTGCCCCTAATGACCACAACAAAGGAGCGTAACTCGGCGAGCGCAGAGCGCGAGTGTATGTGGCTCTGCTCTGGGTCTCTGAACGGGCCGGGAGCCGCCGGCAGCTCAGCTCGCACTCTGACGAGCGCCAGGGCGTTCTCCTCAGCGGTCACGCCATATCAAACCTGTTACAGTGGCCCACAGGCCTGCTCCTGGCAAAAGTCTGCAGGAGATTCGCAGGAGGTGCATTCGAATGCGCGTGGCGGCATGCACGCCACTGCGTGCAATCGCAACGGTATATCACTCCAAAAAAAAAAAGCTCAATTTAATCTCTCTTTTTTTAGAGCGGGCCAGGATACACCAAGGCTTCAAAAATTAGAGTGATATCTCTTGACCGAATACTCTGACAACTCAACCGAGTACAATACATGATGATATTATCAATGATTGCTGATATAACAGCATACAATGTATGTACAGTGTTGAGTTTTCAGAGTAGAACCACGTGTTTTAATCGCTCTGTTAGAGCGACGTTAGCGAAATTACTCCATATGAGTCTAATTCATAACTGAAAACGTCGCAAAACGACACTAAACAATGAGCAATATTTGCGAAAATGACTCAAAATGAGTCTTATTCGCAACCAAAAGTGTCGGAAAACGGACTGGAAACGAGCGATATAATTGATATCGCTGCCCCGGAGTCACGAAATTGGATTCACAACATCGCTCTCCCGGGAGCGAGTTTGCTTCACTCCTTGACTTGCAGTGGAGCCCTTTGTAATGTATGGCCATGCAGGGAAAGGAGGTAATGTGGGACGGGCGAGTTGGCGGCCGGGTGGGGCCGAGGAATCGCTTTTCACATTTCACATCCACGGCCCGCGTACAGTAGAAGCGCGCTGCACTGTACCGGTGCACGGGCGGTGGTGCACGTGCAGGTGCGGTGCTGTCCAGGAGCTGCCTGCTGGCCGTGCGTGACCTGGCGGGCGGTCAGCGGCGGTCAGCGGCGTTCAGCGGCGGTCAGTACGCCAGCACGCCCACCGGGTTTGTTCGGCAGTCATTCCCTCTGATCCACTTGCTATCCCTTTGAACTCCCCCGCCTGAGACCAGACGCCATGCGCCATGCTCAGGTCAACGGCGCAAACTTGCATTCTCACAAAGCTATCGCGTGCGTATTAATAGAGCCCCCACTCCTGGTCTTGCTCGCCCTCTCCGTCTCTCTAGTTCACTCTGCCGCTCTCTGTCTCTCTCGCTCCATTTGATTTTCTTTCTCTCTGTCTGTCCGTCTTTCTCTCTCTCTATGTCGTCGCAGCGCGCGGAGCATTGGCACCAACACGTGCTAATTTTGGCCTAATTTTCGGGAGCAGCCAACCGCCAAGCAGAATCTGACTGGGGAGCATGACAGCATACACAAACACACAGGTCCATCAGAACCAATTACTCTCGTTCCGCATAAAAATATGAGGCAGGTGTCAAAAATGTAGCCTTGATCTCAAAGTGGTGTGTATGTGTACACCCTGCCGGCAGTACATGCCTAAGTAGTTTCATCTCATCTCTGAAGAGAAAAAAGTAGGTTGGGTCTTCCTGTTCAGCAGGTGTAACAGAACACTACGTTTTGTCAATGCCAACCGCTTCAGAAAGTTCAAGCTAACCGCTCATCCCAATTTACGTCAAAAACATAATTTTCAACGGAATGCAAAAGAGAGAAAAGGAACGATGAAGGTTGCCCAAGCCCACCCAAAAACCGTACCCCATACACTAGTTTGTTAAGTTCTGTTCACACCGCTTTTAAAAATAAATAAATTTCAGGGTGTGAAGGCCATGAGGCTTTTTACTTGGTCTACTGGCTGGGTCGGGGTCGTAAGGCGCCATGCTAAGTGACGGTACGTAAACCCGCCCTGCAACAATAGTCATGGGTCCGAGGACTTCCACTGCGTGAACAAACTCCTAACTTCGCGATTATACTTTGGTAAGTACCGTACTGCATGCGTTAATAGCGTTTGTAAATGCCATACGCTCTGGCCAGACAACGCGGAACTTTTGATTTCTCCGTTTACAGGTGACAGAAGAAAAAGATGGCTCCTTGTCAACACACGTTTATGTGAGTAAATCCTGAACATATGAAATACAGCAACTTGCCAGTCAGCAATGTACCATGTATGACCTTAGCACTTGCGCCCGACATTTATGCCTATAGGTCATATCGCCTATTTCTGGAACTAGTGACGTCTGCTCTATAATCTTGTTAGGGAACATCCAGAAAGTACGTTCGTCATTCGCAGTTACGAAAATGCCTGTGCGAGCTCCCAAAGCGCCTGATAGGTAGGCAGAATCTTGCCTGCAGTGCATGTGTGTACTGCGGGGTGGCCTACCCGGATTCTCGCAGGCGCCCAGCTCCCGTAATTTGCCAGAATGAATCCGGGGAAAACAGACGTACTTTCTGGAAGATCCTTCAAGGTGCCCGCCGAACCATCCAAATTATCCAGCGTGAAGCATCCTGTCTTCAATCGGACGCCACCCGGGAGGCAGAAGGTATACATCTCATCGACTTACAAACGGCGAACGGCGGCGACGACCAGGACCAGGGGGGCAGCAGCACCAGCACCGGCAGAGGTAATCCTGATGGCACCAGCCATAGCTCACCGAGGGAGGGCCGCCTCACCTCACAACCTACACCAGGGCCACCTTCATCACGACCACCGAGTGGCCACGCACTGCACAAGCACTGCACAAGCACTGCACAAGCACTGCACACGCACGAGGGGGGAAGGCGGCGCGGCGCGCGGCGCACCTCTCGTCGCGAGCGCGGCGGCGCGGAAGACGCGGACGCGGGACAGACGGCGCGGCGGCGCGGCGGCGCGGACGGGAGCGGGGCTGCGAGTGGAGTGCGTGCGGCCCGCCGGGGAGTGGGCCGGGTCGGGCCAGCAGAGCCGGGCCGGCGGGAGCGGAGCGCGCGGAGCAGCGAGCAGTCTGCCTGCCTGCCGCGCAGCGCCCCGCGCCGCGCCGCCGCCAGATGCCGCCCGCCGCTACGCCCTGCCAGTGGCAACGCTCCAAGACAAGTACCGCCTGTAAGAGGCGAAGGTACTTGTCAATGGTTTTAAACTCGAGTACCCCTTACAGGGGTTTTAACATGTACACCCCCGTCAGCACCTCCACCAAACTTAAACATGTGTCGTTCTTTACAATAACACAACTGAAGAGGTGCTTGTACGTTGATATAGTGCTTGGGCTGAAAAATCCTTTTAAAAAAATTACAGCTCGACGCAGAACATTTGTTTGTGGCTTCTACACCTTATTTTATTGTTTATTTAATACAACGATGAAATGATGATACATCTTGACAAAGGTGGTTTCGTAGTTTCTTACATTTCTTAGATTAGACACATGACAGCAGGTAACAAGAGGGCAAAATATAGCATCTCCGTAATCATAGCTATAAGACAAGAGCAGTAGAACATGAAATAAAAATTCAGTCTCAAGCAGGACTTCACATCATACAGCATGGATGACAAACTAAAAAATTCAAGGCAAGAGAAGTGAAATGATAATGGAAAATGATTGCAACCAGATGCTGTGATACTACAATAAGCAAATATCATTGTGAAAATAATTTAGTTACTGATCAATGTACTGACTAGCAAAAGACCTTGAACATAATTTGTCCAACCACAATTCACACTAGCAATACTGCATATACTTCAGGCCGAGCTTCAGACTTTAAGCAATTGCTAACTAAATCCCATTTCTTCAAAGAAATTCATCTTTTGGTTTTATATTGAAGCATTAAAATTAAAAACCATTACAGACCAATTATACAATCTCCAATATAACCTCTCTCTGCACCATTGAGACAAAAGCAACTCAAAAATAAAGAGCAAAGGTTTTAGGGTGCTGGAAGGTGAAAGAGCCCTGTGTTAAGGGGAAAAAAAAAACAAAAAAAAAAACAACAACACACATTTATGCACAAATAAATGTACATTCAAACTGGATTGAAGAGCCAAGTTTGCACCAACAACATCAAAATTATCAACAGGTACATATCAATATAAAATATCTACTTTGCACGATTAATAAAAACTGCCAACAGTTTATGCAGCATTTTAAACATATAAAAAAAGCACTACAATATTAAATACATTATAAATGAAGACTCAGCTTTTGACCATCAGGCAGATGCCACCAAAAAGCCCTCAAACATACAATCAGTTTGACTATGATCACAGAGAACAACAACTGCATGGTTGTTTCGGCTGATAACTGATTAAAAGCAAGGGAAAATTCCTTCTTAACTTTTGTGATAAAACATTGCTGATTGATAAAATAAATTGAAGTTACATAATAAAACATAATACATGCAATCTCATCAAGAAATCCAGCAAAAGTTTTGCATACATACTGCAACTTATCTTAAAATAGAATGAATGACTGAGTGTAACGAAGACTCACGGGCACATTAAGTTTAACACAAACACATTCATCTCACAGAATTCCATAGGTGTCCACTTAATAGAGGGTTGTCTTAAGAGATAATAAATAATTTTAGATATATTAATGAATATTCGGTCACTTGAACTGACACAGCCCTTCAAAATTACACACGGGTCATAAGCTGCATCAAGTATTTGTTAAGTACTTGAGAGATGCAGATGCAGCAAAGTAAAGCTACAACTTTCCACTCAAAAACTAAATGAAGATTGGTTAAGACAGACATTACGCAAACATATCATGCTGGCTGTACGTAATTCATTGAATATTATAGACTTTTACATAGATATGGAACCAGTCAGGAGGCTTGGCATAAAATAGTTGGTATAACTTACAATTAAATTTTAAGTTCATTTAAGCATAAGAAGTATTAAAATTCGAGAGTAAATTTTTGACAGCAAGCTGACAGAAAGAATTGAAGAAATTTAAATTGACAAAAAGACTCTTTCTGTGCTAAGAACACACAATTTCAAAAATTTCGTTCTTGAAGAACATCCTGCAACAATTTCTAGGCAAGATAAGAAGTGTCCACTGTTGCATCAGGGACATTTACGATATTCCTTTGATTACATGCAACTAAGTGGACATTTCAAATATAACAAGATGATATCCATTGGTTAATAGGTAATTGTATTCATGATCTCAGTACAATCCAATACAATAAAAGTATTAACAATAACAGGAATAGATGATAATAATAATGTGCATCACTGAAACAGAGACAGTGACTGTAATTAAAGTCACTGAACAGGGAAAAATAATTTATTGTGAAAATCACAGAGCCCTTCAGGGCCAAATCGTAAAATACCATCAAACGTTTACGCATTTCTGTCTGGGAATTGTGGTTTGTAAAGTCCTAACTTGAAAGAATGGGCCACGAAAGTCACAGTTGAAAGTTTGGAATGTTACTGACAATGATCTGACAACTGATAATTCATAATTCATGATGGAAGAGGCACCATTCGAGTTGGAGTCCGTGGCTTCAGGTCCATGGTCTGGCACACCCAGCTGGCAATTTCTACTCTCTCCTGTTCTGCTTTCTTTATCCACTCATGATTCTGGAAATTTTCATAGAGAGTACATTTTACAATTCAATGTGGCAATGTAAAGTACTTTTCTGGCAAAAGAAGCATACATACCATTAGTGATTTTAGATCAGCTCTTTCTTCAGGATTCTTCTTCAGGCAACGTTCCACAAAATCTTTAAAAGCATCTGAAAACAGTCCAGAGGGCAGCTTGGGAGGAGGCTCATTTACAATGTAATCTAGTAGTTCAAATATTGCCATTGGTCTTGGTCCATTGCTTGAACTACTGCTGCTACCTGAGATAAATGAAAATTGTAGAATTGAGCACAAGCACCAGTGAAGGGAAATGCAAGAAGAGTTGCAATTCCACTTACTATTATTTGCGTTTAGTGAGGTACCTGTTGTTTCTTCACTAATTCCGTAGCTAGTACCAAAAATGTTGGCAAGAGTTAATGCATCAGGAGGAGGGATGGGATACATTCCAATAGCCATTTCTACAAGGGATAATCCAAGAGACCATATGTCAGATTGAACAGAGTAGTGAGTACCCTGCAATCTCTCTGGCTGCAGATAAAAGAAAGAGAGACTTAGAAAAGATTCACAAATATTTCTCATTCTGTGCACATTTTCTGACAAAGTATCTGAGAACTTACAGCCATATAACTTCTTGTACCAACAAAAGAATTTGCCATTGAGTCAATAAGTTGACCAGACACCCCAAAATCACAAATTTTTATTTCCCCTGCACTGTTGACAAGAATGTTGCTAGGTTTCACATCCCTATGCATGATTGCATGTTTGTCTCGAAGATAGCTCAAACCTTTCAAAACCTGTAAAATTAAAATTAAAATAACAAACAGAAATACAATTATTTCCAAGGCATATGTAAGATGTAAGAGATGTTCAAATATACAAACCGCTAAAGTTATAGTGCCCAGAATAGGTTCTGGTATGCGACCAGCTTTCTTCAAAATAAGATCAAGAGAGCCACCATCCATGTACTCCATACAAATACTAATTTCTCCATCACTGTAAATCCAAATATAAAGATTGTTAGACACGAGTGTTGACTGATTAAGTAAAATGTCAGTAAACAGAGTACCTGTAAAATGCTCCATAGAAGCCTACGATGTGAGGAAAGTTACATTGATGTAAAACCTTTAGTTCTCTTATGATTTGCTTCTTAATAGCAGGTTTAACTTCCAAGTGAATTAACTAGAAAGAAAAAGGTGGTAAAATTTATAAGTAAACGTGCTTTTATTCATTACTCACACACATCCTATGACTCATTCCAGCTTACCTTCCTCGCCATTATGTATCCACTCTTTTTGTGTCTTACTTTCATAACGACACCACCATTTCCAGCCCCCAATTCACCTAATTTTTCCAAGTCGTCGTCTGTCAGTTCACCAATGGCAGATTTTTGACAAAGAAAATTCTCCAAACGTTTCTTTTCAGTGTCATTCATATTAAGCTCTTCAATGCGCTCCTGGATATTATCTATAGATGACTGCCCAGAACTAGAACAGAAATTAAACTCATCTGATAAGTCGAAATGCCATAAATCAACAACAACATTGTGTAGGTATTTATTAACATGACATTTGATACATTGATACATCTAACCTAAAAAAACAAACATTACATGTGTGAATTGCACGCATAACACAGCCAAAAACATTGCACGATTAAGTCTTACGCATGAATAGGGGAGCAATTAGTGATTTTTTTTATTCTTCAATAAAACACAAAATTTATCTCCAAAGAAATATTTCTGACTATGCTGATAATGAACCAACAGGTCCGTGGTATCTTATTTCAAGCTTTGAAGCAAATTAGTGGTACTTACTCGTTTTCTGAGTGAGGCGTCAGTGGTAAAGGTTCTAGAGAACCTGGTCGAAGCGTTAAATTCAATTTATTTTTCGACATTCTGATCAATTTTTACCCTTTCAAAGTGATAAGGTTATGGCTGTGAAGATCTTGCAGACTGAAGACTATGAAGACAGTTTGCTCAGGCTACTCTGAACGTTTGAATATGGTTGCAAGTAGCTCGACTACGGCTTCAGATACGTCGCACCGACTATACCACATTTGTGGAAGGAGATGAGCATCGTCCAATCAGAGAGCAGGATATCAATGCTCGACACGGAACGGTTCACACCCGCCAAATTCGAAATAAAAATATTCGTGGGCCTAAGCAATATCTCTCTTTTTTTTTTTTTCATTCTGTCTCTTTTTTTCAATAAAAACTGGGTTCTCTTGTAAAATTGTGTGTTCATGATGGAAAAATTGGTTCAACTAATGAAAATATTTTAAAATTAAAACAAGTAAATAAAGATATATTTTTTGTAATGACATAAAACAAACAAATTATAGCACACTGTCGATTAGACTGCTTCCATTGACAACAGATGTGCTTGCAACAATAATTCTTGTACCAGTCAATTTTTCAAGAAGCTGAAAAGCAGCAACTTCTGCATAGGTTACACCTCCAATAAAATAAATGAGAAATGAACGAGGAATAAAATCTGTAGAAGCTTTAGTCGGAGTCACAGTTGACCCAGGCATGAGCTGATTAACTATGTCGTCAAAGCTAATCTCCTTTTTTATTAACATATGAACCAATTGACATATAATTGGAACATATGCACCTCCATAAACATAGCTCATGTCAGTGGGTTGTTTCAAATTTAAATCATCTCTATTTGCTGAGAATAACTTCAATTTCTGACGTAACACCTAGTAAAAATAATAGAAATTAAAAACTTTTAAAAGTTTCCACAACATTATAAATTAATGAATTAAAAATTTAGATGAATTAATTACTACCTGAAAGGATGATCTTTTAGGTAGCGAGACAACTTGTGCTACTTTATTAGCAAGTCTACCAGTGGCATCACTAACAGATCCTGTCACAAGTCCTGATCCTAAACTACCAGTGGATGATGTCAGAAGTCCAAGGTTCTCTAAATTATGAAGGCCTGGAAGAAGTTGGTAACCATAGGCATGTAGGAATTGAGTTTTGAGTGACCATGCATCCTCGGAGAACAACCCATCCTGTAATACATTAAAACATTACACTGGTAACAGGTAAATATAAAACAATGGAGATAGGTGATGAGAACAGGAAATCAACATACTTGTGTAAGAGAAAATAAACACATTAGTCTCAGATTGGCCAGCTTTCCTCCACCACCAGTCACCAAATTTTCTTCGATGAATGTCTGTACACTACGGCGATTTATTCCTTCTAGCATATTTTGCTCCATATCTTGAAGGCTTTCAAATCTAAAAACAATGTGCACAACTAGGGTTACTCCTCATTTATCTAGAGCGGGATCAATATTGTTAATAGTAAATAATTACAAACAAACTTAAATACTGTACCTTGAACCAATAGCCGTTATCACAGCCTCACATCCTGCAATGTGCATTGCAAGAGCCCTTTTTCGAGCCATGTCAGCCTTCAGCTTTGAAGAAACATATTGTTTCATTTCATGTAGAGCCATTTTTTTGCTGTGGTCATACTCATTAGAAAATTGTTTTGCTTTCAGAGAGAGGAAGGAAAATACATCAGAAAAATGGCGATTTTTGATTTGATTGTAAATTTCATCCTCACTGCTCAGCATGTGACTGAAAATCGAAAGCTTGTGTAAGAGCATTTCTGCACAACAATAAATTGCAAAAAATGACAAAACCACTGTTTTGATCAGAAAAAAGAATCCTCACCCCATTGTAGATTTTTCACCAGCTTTACTGTCTGACTTTGGGAGTTCAACAACCCCACTCCGAATACCAAGAACTTCATCCATTAAACTTGTGTAGGTCGCAGGGGTTAAAAGAGCTGCAGCGTAGTCAACATCTCGATCTACCAAGACCACACAACCTATGTCAGTTTGTGGCCTATCTGATTCACCAAGTTGGCTCATGAGAACCTTGAAACATGAAAGAATTTTGATAAGCTCCAGATTCTTTTCTTTCCCTAGGCCTTCTTTACTGTCTTTTTTAAAGGAAAATAATGAGGAAACTAAAGGAAAGTTTGTAATAGCTCTTACTTCAGTCATGGATTGCACTTGTCTGGCATTTTTTCCAAAAGTCATGGTTACTTGGGCTCGCCCAAGTAGCATTTGAAGTGACCACAAAGACTTCGCAACAGCTGGGAGGAGGGTTTGATCACCATCAACAAACAATTGAGGAAATAGGGAGGGTAATTCAAGGGATATGAGGCCAATATCTAATTGAATGGGTTCCCATTGAAACATATAAATTTTCACTCTCCCCCACAAACCCTCTTCCTCAAGAAGACGATCAATAGCTGCTAGCCTGAGTAAGTAACATAGATTATGTGAGTATGAGTATCAATGCAGGCATTTGCATGCCTGTCAAATGAGTAAATAGGGACAAAGGACATACCTCCGAGGTACAACAATCATGTGGTAATCTAGATCCTTTCTCTGCTCAGCGTTTACTTGGTCACAGACTCGTTTGGCAGAAATAAGATCTGACATAATCATATAAATACGTTGATTGTTGACTGAACTGTGAGGAGCATTACTGTCTAGTTTAAATATCTTGTCAACATCATGCTTTCTGTAACAAAAATAGATGATAATGTTTTAAATGCTACTATACGAGGAAATATTCAAATAATTCCTTCTTTTAACAGAACAACTTGCCTTAAAACAGATATGCCAGTAATCCTGTCGAGAGCTTTCATCAAGGGTACATCAATGATCAAATCTTTCTTTCCTGGGATTTGATTGAATATGTTTATGAGCCTCAGTTGTGAAAGCTCCCGCAGTGCTGAAATTCTGCCGTCTATTTGCATGATGAACGCTAAAAATGACAGCACAATCGAGTAAATAGATCATCGTCTGACAGGACAGCAGGTTAAGTTTGTAAACACTCGGCCTCTATTGTGCGAATAGGCATCCGTCGTGTGAAGAATCAATCGACTCACTAATGGCCCTAAAGGCGCCCTTTTCAAACGCGAAGCATGTCAAACCCACCCATCTCCAAAACAAGTTAGGGGGCATGTACCAAATGTACAACAGCAAGCTCACAATGATTTCCTCCAGGGTACAAAAAATACATTTTTGTTTACTATATGGGTAAAATCCTAGAATCCCCTCCCTGCAACACCCAAGGGGGCCCTTTCCGAATTACGTAACAACTCCTTCCATCGCGGGAAACTTTAGTTCTAAACCGGCCCTGGATGCCAAAGAACTGCGCATCAGAGGGTCGTAATTACCGCTATCTGGAGAGCTTTTAGGCGTTCAGCTTGACTGGCTGCGCGAGCTGCGCGAGCTGCGCGGGGCTGCTCTGGCGGGGCCTCCCTCGCGGCCGAGGGTAGGACCGAGGGGAGGGAGGGAGGGAGGAGGTGGTGGGGAGATCGTGAGCCGATATCCTCCTGCACTGCGGCTACCCGAGAGGGAAGAAGGAGTAGAGAAAGGGCACGACGATTTATCTTTATCGCTCCCCCATCGTGTCCATTGCTTCTTGCGGCCGCCGGGGCCGGGCCGGGCCGGGCCTCGCGCGGGCCGGACTATGGGCTCCCGGCAGCAGCAGCACCATCATCGGGGTGCGCGCCAAACAAAGCGCGGGCCGCCGCCGCGTCACTCTCATGCGAGGGCGGCGCCAATAAACTTATAGCACAACATGTTTGTGTGTGAGAGAGAAAAAATGAGAGATAAAGAGAGAGAAAGAGAGAGGAGGAGCGCGCCGTCCTAATTGTGTACAAACAACCAACGCTTGATTACAGAAATAACGCACATAGTTTGAAGTGTGAGTGTGAGTGTTGTGTGTGTGTGTGTGTGTGCGGGCGGGCGCGCGCGTGCGTGCTCACGCGCTTGCTTGCTTGCTGGTGTATCAGATCGGAGAGGTCCACTGTGATGATTGACGAGGCCCGCCGGCCGCCTGACCCCTGCGGGGGTTGATTTCGCCCACGTGGCCGCAGCTGTTTCCGGCGCTATAACCCACCCCTGGGGGACGGGACCGGGACAACTTGGCGCTGGCTTCCCTTGTCCTGTGGACGTGTTATTTCCGACGCGTGTTTCAATGACAATGGGTGCCGGTCCGGTCGGTCCCGGCCCGGCGGGGGAGCCGCACGTCATCGCGATGTGCCGCACTCGGTGGTCACGTCAGGTCCTCCTGTAATGGGGGTGACTAGCGGGGCGGGGCGGGGCGG